TTAAATGAAATTACATCTTGAATTTTTTAAAAATCAAAGTTGGAACCGAATGTTTTCCTTTTAACCTCTGTTCTGAACAATTTAGAAGAGTGTTTTCTGAAATTAAAAAGGATGGTGAATTTCACCAATGTTGTGACCTATCTTAGAATGAAAATAGTCGTGTTCTGGGAAGAAAAAGATGTGAATTCTGCCACTGAAGTAAGCAACTGACTTATCTATCCCCTGGTGTCAAAAGTGGCAGTCAAATTAAATGTGAGCTACTGACAATTAGATTCACTTATCTTTTTATTTCAGTTGGTAGTGTTCTTGATGCGTCTGTCGCTGGCCTTGGGAGGAAGAGTCATCATGGGTGCAGTTTATAGAGCAAATGAATATGTGGAAAACCCCTTTTTTGACCCTTGCATTGAAAAGTGTCCCAGTAAAGACTTTATTGTTATCCCTTCTTTCATTGAGCAAATTCATTCACAATCTTAACACTTTTTCCTAAGGTTGATCCAATGGAGAACTGACTTATCTTTGTTTACTTGTAATTAGAGAGGGATGACTTCTAGATGGACATATGTTGGCCAACAGTTAAGCTGAAATCCTGTTCTGAGGGCTGTAATTGATGCACTTACATAAGGTTCTTGAGAACAGATGCTTTTGGTAATTGTTGATACAAAGAGTAAACCCTTTCTGCTGCTTCTGTTACTGACTCTCTTACTTAATAACCAAGTGTTGTATGATCAGTTGCAGAGCCTTCATACTACTAGAATGGCATCATCTAGCAACATACAGGGAAATGGTTTTGCTATGTTTTCACGTATCTTCATTCTTGATTTTGTGCTGATTCTTACTTGTCTGTGTCAAATACAGCTGCCCAGAGAGTGGGAGGAAGTGGAGAGAAGGGTAAACACTTTTCTACAGCTCTGCCAGCAAAAGCAATGAGCTTTGTCCAAGCAAACAAAAGCAATTTTGTATAGTGGCAATATGAAAACACATGACTCGTGAAGATTACGCAAAGAAACTCTATAGTGCTAAGTAACATATTTATCCTTTAGTGAAAATATGAATGAGTGGGAATTTCTGTGTTATTATTAATGTTAGCAACCTTCGTTAAGCTGAGCATTTCTATCTGTAGTTTTGTGTAGAGCTGGAAAATCTGTTAGAAAATCTTTTCCTTTTGGAGAAGTCTCTTCTCCAAGTCATGTCCCAATTACTTTGTTCTTGAAATGTTTGAGCTGATAATCTTTCCTTTAAAAAAAAAGTCCTACTTTGGATAAATTGTTATATTATTTTGGAAAAGGAGAACTACTGTCTATATCTGCCTTTTACAGTGAGACTTATACCTGGGCACTTTGAGTTTCTGTGCCTTGAACACCAGGTTGTTGCCTGGTGGGACTCTCTTCTATCATCATCTATCATTCTGGGCTCCTTCCTCTCCACAAAAATCTTAAGGTTCCTTTTTTTGTTGCAGGACAGAGATTTCTCTGATTTCAAAGTTTCGTTAATACAAGAATTTATCACATCTAAGTTTTCAGCATCTAGTGCTGAAAACAGACTGTTTGTTACCATTTTTAGAATGACCTAGAGCTGCCATTTTTACAAGTGCTCTGCTGCAGCAAAGTTGAGGACAGTATAATTAGGACTTTACTTTTGGATAGGTTATAATTCCAGATATTAAAGTTATTGTTTAAAGATTATGCATGAAGGAGAATAGTGCACATAGTTACCAATTTTGGTAGCCAGATAAAGCATTATCTTCTGTCACCCTTTTTTATTTTAGTTTTTATAAATGACTGGAAAAATAAATTAAAAAGGTGTGATGCTTCATTTCAAATAAATTGAAACACTTAGTTTCATGTAGACTACTTCACTTTATTTTTGGTAACAAAAGTGATTTGACTTATTATTTGTGATAATGAGGGGTTTAATGAAAGCAATTAATTAAATCATTTGTTCAGGCAGTTTCCATCATTGCTCCACACACACAAGAAAAAAAAGGTAGAAAAACATCAGGCAAAAAAATCCAGAAAAACTAGCAAGGAATATTCTAACAAATGCCAGGATATGTAATGTACTAAAAAAATTTTTTTTGCTTGTTCCTTTGATTGTGCTCACAGTAAATTGGCAATCCTATTTTATTTTGAGGACAAGGGTCTTTAGAGGTGTTTGGTTTTTTTTTTTTTGTAGCTGTCTTCTAGAACTGTGTAATGAAACCCAATACCTTTTACTTATTTCCCCAGATACTCTAATCCCTCCCTGCTTTACCAGTATCTTTGAGCTGTTCTTCCCTTTGTATCCACAGCAACATGAATCCCTGCTGGAATTATTTGCTTCTAAAATGCAGGTGCACTTGTTTAATGCTGCATTGGTTCAGGCTCTTAACTTGAAGACTTTTTCACCAAGTGGGAACCTCTGCTTTTGCTCTACTTCATATTAGGTGTTATATATATTAAAAGGATATAAGACATTCAGTCTCCTAACATGCATTACCTGTTTCTCAGAGCCTTTGTTGTTCTCTAGTTCTTAAGAGCTTTTAGGCATCAAAAGCCATAATAAATAAACCATCGTTTTGTTAGCCTTGAAATAATAATGCTATGTAGAGGAAAGGGGAGAATGATATAGATTGTGGTAATGCGTGTGACAGTCGCTGGTCAAAATACTCAAACCTGTTATCTCTCTGTAACTCTGGGTGCCAGTGCCTGAGAGTAACTGTGGCTAAGCACCGACACTTTGCCTGTAGTTTTCCAGCTTGTATTTAAGTGTCTGTATATATATTTAACATCCTAAGGTTAGGCATACTAGCTACAGTTCTGAAATCAAGCTTTTGTAATACAAGATACTAGGGTTTTTTACTAATTTTCTTTAAGGATTCTGATAATTTTCACAAATGCCACCCTGTGCTTAAACATTTAACAAATTTTGATTTTTAGTTGAAGAAGAATTTTACCTATGTGTTTGAAAATGTGACCATTATTAGCATGAAATTATGCACAGAGCTCTGCTGCTCCTTGGACCTGGGAGGGCAGTGCGCCTGCACTCTGAAGCACAGGGCAGTGCCAGGTACCAGCCTCTGTGTCTCTTCAGTTCTACCTCCAACATCAGTGCACCTTTTTGATAGCTTTAATCCAATTTTCTTTGTGCCTTGATTTTTCTCAATGTAAAATGGGAATCAAAGATATGACTCATTTCGTCACAGTATTCTAAGGAGATGCTAATCAACATTTTGATGCCTACAAGATTAATGAATGGGAAACATGAATTAATGTTCAGGGCATATGGGAATGCCATGGGAGCGCTGAGGTAGAAGTAAATCATTAGTTAGTAAATCGTACTGAGTGAAAGGTCTGAATTGAAGCCTCACACTCAATGGGGAAGAACTAAACAAATACCATATGACTGTGGAAACACTGGATAACTGCGTATGGACTAAAAAGAGGTAGAGCATCTGCAGAAGAAAATAGTATGTGACCAGATCAATAAAGTGCATCATAGTGCACTCATGCAAAAGAGGCATATTAATGTTGCCGAGGCCCTTCATTCTGCCATTTTTCTGATGCTTGCTTGCAACATTTTCATCCTAAATATTGTTAATGTAATTTAAATTTAATGTTATTGTAGCACCTGGATTTGGAGACCTACTGGCAAGAGGCCATGCAGCATGTACAGAGATTATTTCAGCTCTAAGCTGAAAAGAAACTTCATTGCTCTGAGGGCAGGCAGGATAGGAGAATGTCTAGTATGTTTATGTACCGTTGTAGTAATTTTCCTCATAATTACATGTAAACTAAATGCCAAGGAGTCATACTATTTAGGTGTGTAAAGTTATTGTAATTGTTCACATTTGCACCCCATGAGGAGTGCTCCATGAGTGCAGATGGCATTCTGTACGCTTTAAATTCAGCTTAATGTATCAGGCTAACTCTCATTTACATGAAGACCACTTTGTATCACTCAGCCAGCATAATGTGGCCATAAATGAAGAGCAAATTCTATTTACACCCACCTCTGTGGAGTGACCTTAATTTAAATGAGAATCAGGCCCATAATCCGTATAAATATATGCACTCTGTTACATTAAGGTTATTTATTACATTGCACTCAGCCTGAGTATGCATGGAGATTTACCATAGATAATCCATAATCCAGAATTAAACTATTAATATGCATTTTGAGAGGGGCAGACATAACCTTGAAATTCCTTGGTTTAAGTATGACCTTTAACTTTGTTTGAATATATTTTTTAAACGTATGAATAACAAATTAACATTGGTTGATAAAAAACATTCTGATTCCTTTGTACCATTTGCATCAATCCATACTTAACTTACAGAAAGCCTTGAAGATTAGAAGGCTTAATCACTCATAATATTTATTTGTTTTTAAATGTCAGATCACATTTAGTTCAACATACTGTCAGTCTTGTTCCCCCCCACACTCTGGCATTAATGAAACTACAGTGGAAAGTATTCTTCTTTTTGTGTCCAAAGACACATGCATCTTAGCAAAATGACAAAACACTTTGTACCTGGCCTGTGTAAAGGAATTACTTTCTATATCCTCCTGAATATGGAATGAAAATCTGTGCTGCTCCTTTGATACGCCCTCCTAATTTCAGTAGACATGTTGCAGGAAGCAGACAAATTACCAGTTGTCAGGAATTCTTTTTTCCTTTCCTGCAGCTTACAGAAGGTGAGCTATGAACAGCAAAGGTGTTTGAGCAAAGACTTGGTGGTCTTACGATAGCTTTTGTAGTCATGGAAGGTAAGTCCTGCCATAAGGCCTTAGGAACAGAGCTTGTTAGTTGCATGATAGAGTCTAAATATCTCTGTCAGTATTGAGACAATATTGTGCTGGATGCTATGCAGCCCGAAAGTCACAGTGATGGACTGGGAAGCTAAGCTGTAAACACTGTGTATAACCATATGTTGAAATGCACTCGCATTATGCTTGTACCAAACGGACCCTCAGCAAACTTACACTGGTTGAACTGTGGCATTTTATTTTTCTTTCTGCAGTCCGCATCTGAAGTTCAACAATCTGACCTTGATTTCAATTCATGGCCTTCCAGGAAAAGACCTACCAGGCTCCAAACATAGAAGATTTTTAATTAACAGGTTTGATTTAATATCTAAACACTTCCACAGCTTCGAAGGAAAACATAACACTTTGTAATTCTTTGTGAACTTGTCCTAAATTTCAGATAGATACATAGACAGATAGCCTCAAAATAATCCAATCTGTCTATACAACGTGCATTCACCTGTGAAATGAGTTGAATATAATTATTACTAGTGAAATATTGCTAAAGCAGTAACTTCAGGACAGCAATCCATTGTGTTATACCAGGACACTGGTCTCTGCTTTCCAAGACTTTTTAGATTGTTTAGATCTCCAGGTTAAAGAAAAATGACAAAGACTTATGCTTGCTTTTTAAATATTAGTTTTTAGCTTCCATGAATTTTGTTCCAAATAATGCTGAACAAAAGAACATATAAGAATTAATATTAGCAATGTGACTAGTAAGTCTGCTTATGGCAGCCATGTGGTGAGATGCAGATCCCACTGATGATAGTGGGAATTTTGCTGAGTATATGGGGGAAAGTTTAGGATTATTGCTGTGGATAAATTTGGAAGAACTATGCTGCATCACTTCTGCTGCTTGTGAACTATTTGTGTGCCAGTCACTGGACTGTGGAAGTCTGTCTCCAGTCCCAGCCATAGTGCTGTCTCTTACACTTACCTCCCCTGGGCTGGCAGAGCCATGGGTCTGGTGCAAAAGAGCTGAAGGGAAGATTGTGAAGATAGCTGTGCTTCTGTCTAGTGAGCGATTAAACATTTCACAAGTTTTCTTGTTTGCCGATAAGTAAAATATCTTCCATTTAGTAGGACAAGATATTACCTCGTTAAAATTCACAGTACATAATTCTCACTTAAATTTAGTATATTTGTTTTGATGGTTTTATTTTTTTTATTTTGGAATAGTGACTAGCAATCCTCACTGTAGACAGGAACATGATTGGTCTGGATGTTGAGCAGCATAGAATTAAAATGAATCAGTTATTTTGAATAGCAAGGGAATGAACTTAGTAAAATTTATTTAGATTTGGCATGTGGCTCTCTGGAACCTGTACATTGTTTCTTACCAAATCTTTTACTCAGTAAGTGGCATTGCACTAAAGGGCCAGCTCTTTAAATGATGAAACAACTCTATGTCTGCTTGCTGAACCTTAAAAATGAAATCTCTACAAAGACATGAAAATGGTGTGATGTGAACCTGCTTAAAACCACCTTGTCTTGTTTGGAACTTTGCCCTGTCAAGGAATTTTTTATAAGTAGTTACCTGAATTAATTTTTTTATTGTAGAAAGGGGTGTGTTTAAGTACAAATCTAGTAAATGAAGGGATTATGTGCTCACATAAATGCACGTACTCTTTTTCCTAAGTATACTGTAAAAACTGTAGTAACAAAACATGCTTCCTGATTGAAAGTTGCAGTTCATAGCTGCCTCACCAGAATTAGCTGTTAAAATTTGAAAGCAGATTAAGAGTGAAAATTGAACTCTGCAGGCTATGATTTTTGAAAGCTTCACTGTGATTTTGGAGTGCCAGTCTCCTGGGAGCTGTGCACCTCAATTATAAAGGTGCTTTAGAAAACCCTCATCTATCCTTGATGTCCATTTTATTTATAGATTTCTGCATGATTACAGTTTGCAATTGTCAGTGGTTTTCTTCCCTTGTTTATTTGCCTCTGGTATTTGTGAGTACAGAGGATGCAGAGCACCTCAGAAAGCCTGGTCATTCAGCCCAGAAATTCTTCAGGTTATGAAAGCAACTTCGTTTGTTTCTGTGGCATCCGGTATGACAATTTTGGGAACTCAGTAACAACAATTAATGTCTAGCAATCAGCTCTGTTTTAGAACGTATATTCTGGTACTAAAGGCAAAATAATAGCTGCTAGTGCCAAGTCTCTCTCCAGCGTTCTCTGCTGCAGTCACTGGTATAATATAAAGGCATCAAATGCTTGAACATGAGCTGAATCCCCTTCTATTTAATCACATTACATTAAGTAAAAAGAAAGTGGAATATTTTTCATCACTCAGTATCAATAGAAAGTAAAGTTCTTGAGCCTCTGAATGGCCGTGGATTTTTTTTTTTCTGCACTGACTTCAGCTCACAGACTGGGTGAAGCCCAGGATCTCTTTATTGTCCATTCCCATCTTGTCTCATAGGTGTGAAGTGCTAGCAGGGGTGAGACTCAGCTTCCTTTCACACAAGATGTGCAAGTTCCATCTTCTTGCCATGTCACTCTGATCTCATAAACCAGACATCTGTGTAACATCAGCCACTCATCTTTTTTGCCTGTTTAAAACCTGTTGCATTCTTTTTTGCTAGATCCTGCAGGTTCATCCCTCTACGAAGCTATAAATGGGTTTGGGATTAGCATTAATCTTCAATTCTACTGAAAGTACCTAATTTAACAGAATTTTGTCTGGTTTAAGTTTTCAGTATCAGGAAGGTATTGAGTTGAGTATAGCTGGATTTGCAGAATGGCCAGCAGCGTACTGTGTATTTTCATAATGGGCTACTGCAAGACTCAGTGGTATTCAAGAGTCATAACGGACCTCATTGAAAATATTATCTCTCTGGTCCTCCATGCATTTTATAATGATGTGTGTACTGTACATCTGTATGGAAGTATTTTATCTTCAGGAATCTTTGTCTTTCCAGTAATCTGTTAAGCAGAGAGGGCAGTACAAATGCAATAATAAATAAGTATTCTGGTATTTGCTTAGTTGGGCAGAGTGGAGGCATACTCTGAGCCATAAAAGACCTTTGGAAATAATTTTAATTTTCATTAATGAGGCATTAAAAGAGGTTTTGTTCCATTCAGATGTTGCTTCAAAATTGGCTTTTTAAATAGCAGATTCCAGATCTTTGATACTTCTATCATACATAGGGATATATATGATACTTTACACTGAAAACAGGCTGTAACACTGCTGAATTTTAACAGCTGCAGAAGTAAACCTTGCATGAGATTTTCAAAATCGACAAGTGATTTTAGGTTCCTTAGTTTTTTGGTACTGATATTGAATTAACACTGCCAGAGCGTGATGCTCAGAATGTGCGCACCATACACACCCTGAAAATAAGATTTCTATCGAGGTATCTCATTTGGACAACATTTAGTCTGTAAGACATTTAGGGACAAAAAGCCCTGGAAACCATAACTACTGTATGGAACAAGGCTTGGCTTCTTAAAACAGACAATTCTTAATATTGGTTGTTACCTAGCACTGCAGGTAATTGCTTTGAAATTATAAAAGTTGCTTCCCCATTTTCATTAACAATAAATTGTGTTCAGTTAGAAATTAGTGAAGATTAATATTTTTCACATCTGCACTGTTTGTGTCTCTCTTTCTCTCACTTACCTGCTGATTTTGTTTTCTTTTGGATAGCTTGTGTGATAATTTCTTCTTTATTCCTGTTAATATTCAGTTCATCTGGCAGAGGAATTCAGCTGCATCTTGGAGACTTTTGAAAGTTTGGGGGTAGGGGGTCAGTGTAGTATGTTTTCAGAATTTTTCATTCTTGCATTATGGAAAAGTTCATTTGGAAAGGGGTCACCAAGAGGCAATTTGAAATCTCTGCCTTTTACTTCTAGCTCTGACAACTGTTTTCCTAGCTTTCTATTTATTTTTAAACTTTTCAGACTAGTACTTTGGAACATGGCTGTTAAAATGCCAATGGTGCCTTCATTGCATTTGTCTCTCACCATAGCCACTACTGGTGAAGTTGAATACCAAGTGATGCAACAGTGGAAAAAAACTTCCTAAGGGAGTCTTATGTAGGAGAAAGAATTAGACTGTTAAAATATTTTCTTTGCAGGTGCAAAAGCCTCCTTGCATCAGCCTGCAAAGCAAAAACAGAGTAAAGCATCTATTTCTGACTTTGTTTTTAAATTATGTGGTTGTAAGGCTCAATGCTGGGAGGGATTGTTTGGTTTTAGCAGAAAGTTGTCAATTTGTAACTGAGTATTTCATAATGACTAATCTTTTACTATAGACTGCCGTAAACTCACAGCGAGAGAACAGACTTGAACCACTAGGGGACTTTGGCTAACTCACCAGATGTCTAATTAATGCCTGCTGTCAGCTGCTGAAATGTCACTTACAGATATTCTTTCTTCACAGCCACTGTTTTAATGATGAAGATTATGCACAGATGTCACTTTGTTCCTGGGTTAACGTTGTGGTTGGTAAAATGACTGGCATAAATCGCGCTGCCAAATACGTAGTTGTTTCCAAGGAGAAAAAAGTACCATATGACTACCTTGTTCTCTGTACTGGACAGAAATACCAGGTAAGATTGTGTGCAGAGGGAAAAACATAATAATATATTCAGTTTTTACAGTGAATAGTGTTTGTGTGATTAGCAAAGCAGTAGAGTAGTCCTGAGCAAGTTTCTTTCTGGTTTCTATAACCAGAAAGCTTGCAGCCCTTCAGTGTAGCAGGTTGTACTATTTCAGTGTGATGATAGAATTTGGAGGAGATGAGAGGTTTTACAAAATTTTCTACCAGCAATGTCACTGCTCAGTATCAGATATTAAGCAAAGCTGCCAGTATTTTTGCCACCGTGACCATTAAACCTGCTGAAGAGTAGGCCCAATTGACATGTGGCCCTAGCCACAGGAGACTTAACTCCAGCTGGTCTAACACCATTTGACCTAGTTTTGGCAATGGAGAGAATTCCTTATCAAATTAATTACTCATCTCACATGATGACCATGCCTAGGCACGTATGTGGTGCTGTGTGTTATTGTGGCACACAGTTAAGTTTCCAGTGAGACTGAAGCAGACCCTTAGTTACACGTGAAACGTGGAATCAAGCTGACGTCCAGCCCTACAGGCTCAGCTTCTACTCGGACATCCCAGCCAGGGTTCGTTCTTTCTGTGTGTCATCACGTGGCCTTCAAACTGTGTAAACCAAATGGTCATCTTTTGTATAGCCCTGTTGCCTGCAGTGATTTTACTGATTGGTTTTGGGTAGGAATCATGAGCAAGGTATATTGCCTTTAAAACTGGGAGATCAAACTGAGCCTGTGTTGACAGATTTTTACAGTGCTGTTCACCATAAGTCACAAATGTGAATGTGAGGTATGATCAGCTGCCTAGTGAAATCTGGACTGCACGAGTGCAACAGATTTGTGGAGCAAGAAAGCCCCAGTTTTTCTATAATCACTTTTCTGAGTAGAGCCACACTTTAAACAACAATCCATACTGACTATTCAACAGGGATGAAACAAAAGTTGAAGTGTGGTCTGAATGACTTCAAGTGCTCCTAGAAAAAGAAGTTTGGAGGTAACTCTGACTTGCAAAATAAGTTATGGGGAGTAACTACACTGGAGGAGAAAGAAAGATAAACAAAGCAAGGGAAAACTGGGGGTTTATCTGCCTTCAAGAAGAAAACCTAACGTCCTCTATTCTCACTTTTAAGCCCTACAAAAAATAGGAAGGAATTATTTTTATCATCTGGTTTCTGTTTTATTACACAGAGCTGTAGTCCATCCTTTTTATGAGTTGTTCCTTATTTGGTAAGCAGTCAAATTAATGCCTAATAAAACTGTATTCATTGTGATTAAGAAGATTTACTTGTTGGGCAAGTAAGATCTTTTGATGTCATGCCTGTTTTTATATGACCAAATAGTATTTCAGTTGATCCAATGGTCAGTGAGAACATTGTTCAGGACGTTAACCATTGATGCTGTAGAAGTCATAGATCAGATTCCCTTTTTTGCTCTGTCTAATTCAGATTGAATTTGTAACTGTAAAGTAGCATTATACCATTAACACTTTACTGAATCCTGGCATTTTAACCATCAAGCAGGTGTTGGTCCCTTTCTCTGGGACAAAATCTCTCTTATTTTAGAAAGTTTATTTTTGCTGACAAAAGATGGAGACAGTCTTGCTGCACAAGGAATTTTCAAGTGTCATTTAAAGGCATATGTTATTCAAATAATTTCAGAGATCCTTCAATCATATATTTATGCATTTCTGCTGTTTGCTGTAAAGTCCCTTTCGTTTGCCTTTTGCCTGTATTGTTATTTACTTGTTGTGGTACTGCTGTTTAAAATGGTCACCCATATCCCATAGAAAATATGGAATACACACACATGCATGTGTACCTGTGTGTGTAAACTCAGACTAGCATCAGTCTATTTTCTCTGTGGCCACTGATGTGTTTGCTGCTGCTGAATGTTAAGAAGGGTTTGGATGTACAAGGATAGCAACCCGTAGGTAGTCAAATGGCTTGTGTCGTTGTTTTTTAAAATCTTCCTTAATGGTTCTCCAAGATATATGCTGTATATTCATTCACTCATTTATTAATTTCTTCCAGGTCCTGTCTCCCACTGGTGCAGATATCAGTAAACTCCCAACTAACAGAGAAGTCATAAGTAAATGGCCACAAAGATACACAGGGAAAGTCCCTTCCAATCATTTTACTCTCAATGACGATCAGGACTGCTTAAAGGCAATGCACTGGCTGAAAGAAAACATTGTCAACTCGGAAGGTAAGGGTTTTCGTTAGCACACGCACATTTACGGATATGTTTTCTAGGCTTATTGTTTCCTTAATGCCATGGTATAATTGGAGCCTGATTAATTCTAACAAAGTCTTTCATCTGCTGTGCTTTGTTTTCCAGATTAATTTACAATTTGTTGTCATTTTTGATACCCAGCATATTTAGCTAGGAAAGAAAGGCTTGAGATAGATTAATTATCTATAATTATTATATAAAATGAGTCCCAAATGCAAATCTGGCTGGAGTCATTAATTAGCCAATTAAATAATAATTTAATTAGTGGATGTGTTTTTCTGTTGTATAGAAAAATATCTAGACTTGAAGCATAACACAAAGAAAACAGGTCTAAAATAGGAAGTGGGGTTTTTTCACTATCTGTCATCTTTGTGTTCGGTTATGTCAGTTACGGATTTTCACTTAGAACTGCAGGCTCCCAGTATTTTCTTTTTAACCCTTAAAATCACACACTTGTGCGGATGTCCACCACACCTGAATTTCCTCAGCCTGTTCAGGTGTGCATTGTTCATATATTCATTAGTTCATTCACTGAATGTGTATGCTGTTGAAAATATCTGGAATCATCCAGGCTTCCAAGTTAAACTTTCAGCTACAGGAAAAAGAGACCAAACAGCGAGTTCATGTAATGTCACTTCTGTGTGCTGGATCTGAGTTAGGACAGAGTTCAGAGCAGGAAAGCTGTCTTTGTGGAAAATTCCTGTCAAGTGCAACAACAGGAGTTACCTTAAAGATGTCGTTTACATCGCTCATTCATAGAGAACATAATGAAAATTGGTAGTTATTTGGTGTGGTCTATGAGGTTCATGTCCTGCTTGGCAGACCTTCAGGGAAGTTCTCAAGACACTGAAAGTTTCGTTATCATCCTTCAAGTCTTGCTCAGATCAGGACAGGGGACAATAAACATGATATTTCTGCCTGCATTTTCCTCAAACAGCTTCCTGGCCTCAGGCATGTAAATAGAGCCTCTTCAGCAGTCCCGCTCCGCCTGGATTCCAGCTGATACCAGCCCCTGCCCAAACAGTTTTACCTGATGTCCAGCTGATATGCACAGCTGCATTTGCATAAACAGCTGAGGTTGTTAGTTTTCCCTGTTTGCTACTGCTAGTCTTTCATGTAAATCCATGTGTGTCCAGTCCTGGAATGTGCTCCAGTCCACCTGCGCAGAAACACTGCCTGAGAACTAGCTGCTGGCTGGGGCACAAGGTGCCCAGGAGGATCGCTTTGCAGGTGAACGGCAGTCTTACAGCACCTCAGCTGCTTTGGGATGAATGCACCTTTCTTATTATTAATACTAAAATAATATTATATTACTCATAATTTCATTATTGCTGCTGACTTTTGCTGCGGTGTAAAGCTGGATATCTTAACTGGGCACTGTCCTGTCTTTGGTTATAAGCTAAATCCACAACTCCCGATGAGGCTGGTCTGGAGGGACTTTTTGGAGACGTGGTCTGTGGGAGAGATGACGCCTCTCCCTTTGTCCCCACCCTGTCTCTGGCTCCAGTTCCCTTTAGTTGCTCTTCCCACTTCATGTTCTCTGCCACTGCAGATGTAAGCTATAAAGAGTGCCCAGCTGGAGAAGTCTTTCTCCACCTATCTCTGTTTCTGTTTTTCCTCACCCAGCTTCTTTTTCCAGCTATATTTCTTACGAATGTTGTTCTTTCAGACTTGATCATAGCTGTGTCCAAGATCCCTGCTCTTTCTGAGAATGAGTCCACTTTTCAGACCCTAGCCTATTCTGGCGGCAGCCTAACAGGCAACAGGCTCACGGAGACGCAGAGGCAAGGCTCCTGTGGAGCTCAGCAATTGATTTGGATGTCTGTCAGCTCTCTGCAGGCCATGCTATTGCTCTACTGGGATGACCAAAGTTTTATGTTTCTGTTTACTTTTCATCTCTGAAATTCTACAGATCCTAGTTTTGCCTTCAATAAATAGTAATATTACACCTCATGTATTTAATCTCATCAAAACTAAAGTATTGTTTGTCAAATTCCTACTAACCTGCTTTAAACATGTTAGAATTCAAAACGTTAACAAATAAGATTTGCTTATGTTTAAAGAAAATGAAGTGCCTAGTAAAACTATATATGCTGGTTATTGTAGCTGCACAGAAATAGACATTTCATCCTCCCACTTCAGACACAATAATAATTCTTCTCAGCTTATACATGGTCTTTTCTCCACGCAACTTGCTTCTATTTGTGCTCCTCTTATTCAGCCATTTGCTATGTTTATCAAAAGTAGTCTGGAGCCTGCTGTGCGGAGCCTCATTCTGGCTGGGCCACTGGATGACTCCCCCCCACCAGGGTCCCACGTAGCCAGCCCGGGGGCTGGGGCAAGGAGCAGCTCCCACCGGTCCCTGGCTGGGGGAGAAAAGCCCCGGATGAGGGAGAGTGAATGTGCCTTCAAGACCACCTCTACTTCTGGAGGTTTTTTAAAGGAAAGCGTTAATCACTGAGCTTCACAATGTGAGTCTTATTAGCCTAATTGGATGAAATCTTCATTTGGTGGCACTGATTTTGAGAGCAGCTTTTAATTAAGAGTTAAGGTAGGGTTTTTAATAGCTTTTCTTCCCTCTGTGAGCACTGGGTGCCACTTCATTCTGGATGGAATCAGTGGATGCTTTTTTGCGGGTTGTAAGTAGAGCAGGATCAGCCTGGTAGCACGTGCTGGTGGGAGGCGTTGCGTGCACGCCGTGGTGGAAGCAACGGTGCTCCCGGCAGTGGCTGTGCCGCCAAGGATGGGCAGCGGCGTGCTCACTGCAGCCTTCTTCCCTGGGCTCCTCCTCGCCTCAGGAGAGGTGACGGGAGAATCTGGCCGGCACTCAGCAGCGGGTGTTGCTCGAGGAGCCCATGGGAGAAGCGGTGAGCCACATCTGCTGCTGCCAGCCCCTTGGCCACCTGCAGCATGGTGGGCTGCAGCAGGGTCCCCTGAGCTGGGGTGGGAGGCCTTTGCTCCTGGCCGGTCGTGCTGGTGGCTCCGGAATGACCTCCTGCTGCCGAGGGCCTGGGAGCAGGGTGAGCACCAGCCCCGACGGCTGCTGCTGCGGCTTCTCTGATGAAACCCAGCCGCCTAATGCATGTAACCTATTATAACTGTAATTGTGACTAATTGAAATTCATCTCCTATTAGCTCTGCGCTTTCCATGAAAATAAAAAGTAGGATGGGAGTAAAGTAAGGAACAAAACTGCTTTAATGGCCCAAAATGGAGCAATTATTTTTTCTCTTTACCTAAACATAGTTTACTGCCTTATTAAAAGCATGTTTGTAGGAATACTATCGCATTAAAATTCCAGTGCATGAATCACCAACCGGAGCCACTGATGCTTTAGCTAATACTGGTTTTCTCCTTTAGCTTTTGCAAACTAAAAAGATTCAGGTCATGCTAGGGTCACTGAAATCTTGTGCTTCCACTTGTGGAAAATGAATGAGCCTGCTCTGCCGCAGAACGCTGACATTCTAGTAATAAATGATAAAACTACTCTAACGGTCTTTATTTATGGCTGCTTTTTTCTGTGGAAGATTATTATGTTTACTCACAGATAGATACATTTTCATGTAGTTAAATAATAAAAGCATCCTGAGGAACTGCTATCTGTCCAGTGAGCATAATTTCAGTCCATAATGAATATCTGTAGTTCCTAGTCTACTAGCACTGTAATCTAAAAAGCCACTAATATTGTAATAAGCAGAAACCGTAAATTGTTGATTTACAAGAGGTCAGTAAAGGAGCACTGCTTTCCTTGATCTAATGGAGTTGTATTTAATATTACCATATAAAACAGAATTTTAATTTTCCTTGAGAAATGCAGGGCTTGAATCTGATCTCATATATACAGAAATGCCAACATATAATGCAATAACTGAACTTCCCTCCAAAGAGGCTGGTTCTGCCAAATGGTGAGGATCTCTCAGTTGCGCAGACTTACTTGCCTTAAAGTCAGAACAAAACTTTGCTAGCCTATGCCTTTGGTAAGCACTTCTCATTCCCCTTTCCCAGCCACGGCATCCTCTTCAGCTGCTTATGTTTTTCAGCCCTTGCTAATTGAAAATGTGTAAATGTAATGTGAGGCTGTCAGCATCCATGTACCACATTCTTATCTGCACTATTAGCACAGTAGATTACTAAAAATTAATATATCGAACTTTGTATTTCACCACTAGTGCTCCTTGTTTACTTCTTGCATTACACCCTGCTGCAGCAGTGAAAAAAAAAATGGAACAGTCTTACGTCTTCCTTCTTTTTTGGCTCTCTCATGAGGAGAGTGCTGCCTACAGATAGGTGTCCTTGTAGGCAGGAGCGATGGAAAGGGTTCTTCTGGCTTAGAAAGTCAGCTTAGCAATGTACACGTTGGATGGAATTCCCATTATCACACATTATACTTATTCTGTATTACATTTATGCAAGTAGTAAGATCTCTTTCTTATGATTTCAGATGAATACTGTTGCAGGTAAAATTGTTCTGTCCCTCTGGTCACTGATGTGAACAGTAAAAATATGCTTTCCAACATTTCTGAGCATGTATAATCATGGGGCAATTCTTTTCTCTGGCAGTTATGAAGAGATACATTTATCTGGCAGCTACAAGTAGCCAAACTGATATGGACAAATAAAATAACCTTGTAGTCAAAGGGGAATAATAGAACATCTGTTAACAATTTTTATCATTAATATTCTTGGGAGCTAGGGCTTTGTGAATGCTCTGTTTAGTATTGCTCTGTGTCTCATGCAGTAAAACATGGTCCCAGTGAAATCAGTTTAGCCTATGAAATAATAAAATTCAGGTTGTAGCGGATGCTATCACTTGTAGAGAGACATAAATGCCAATGCCAAGATAAACGTGCAAGTTAGTTGCATGAGGCACTCTTACCTGCTCATCACTTCTTACTGCAGTGTCATGTAGGAAAACAAATGCTGCCTAAAGTCAAGATCAAGCCAGTTATGTAGGAAAAGTCAGCTGTTTGTCCAAATTCTAATCGCAGTAACTGCTATGTAGTCTGTGGGGAGCCAGTGCCAGCTGCTGTTTATGTCAATTAAAGGCCATTCCTGAAACACTTCATATGTTCCAACAAGATTTGTCATTAGACCATTCCACCCTATGCTTTTCCTTCAACGCCAGACTACAAGTTATTTTCACAGAGCTCGTAGAGAAACTTCTGCCGTATCTAAGTTGTCTTATACAAAGCCCTGTATCCTCTGTGTTATCCTTCAGCTTCAGTCTGAGACTGGATGAGCCTGGGATGGCCTGGGATTTGTGCACTGGCTTTCTTCTGGTTTACGTTACCTGGAAAAGCGACACTTGGGGGGGTGTGAGCTTTTCTGCAATTTTCTTTCTCCCAGCTTCATCCTGGAGTGTATGGTGTCCTCTCTTGCAAGAATGTTTACATGTTAGCTTGTGTAGGTATGGCTCAATTATTTCCTATTTCTGCCAGGGATTTCCCAGAAAGCAATAAATGCACCTGCTGACAAGCAGTGTTGCCCAGGTGTGGGACATTAAAAGCACTGGGAAAGTGCATTTGATGCATCCTTATGCTGACAGAGCAGATTCTTGGCATACTGAAACACCCATCAGACTTAACGTGCAGGAGCTGATGTCTTACTGAAGGTCTGTCAAAATTCACACGCTGGATGTTCCTCCATCTATCTTGGCCTTGCAGCTTGAGCTAGCACAGCACAGGCGCAGAGCTGGTGGCTGTGTGCATGCTTACTGCTGCATGCACGGAGGAGCCCACAAGCCTGGGCTCGATCCTCCTTTGCTCGGGCAGGAGCTTGGCTGCGGCCCTCGTAGCAAAGGGTCCTTAGCCACCGGGAGAGGAGTTCCCAGTCTGTCCTACGAGAGCTGTGCCATTTGCATGGATTACCTGAAGGCTCAGTAGATCACGGAGCAGAAAAATGGTTTCCATTCCAAGCAGGGGGACAGAGGGAACAGGAAGGAGAGGAGCATGTTTCAGTCCCTGCTCAGAGCAATGTTTATATGTTTTATATTAAACCATCCTTAGATGAAACATACAGATGCTCTGATGCATCCCAGCTCTGCCTCCCTTGTTGCCAGGAGGGCTTTACCCATTAGGCTGGAGAGTCACATTATGCTCACACAGAACCTGCTTCCCTCCCATCCTCACGTATTCACTCTCAGCTTTAACTATGCAGTTTGAAGTGGCACCGGTTCAGTAAGAGAATTTGCAAGATCCTACCATATAGCCTGCAGCTTTGTTGTTAAGGGCATTCCAATGGAAGGTGGGAGGTGTGGGTTTGAATCAGAACTCCTTTTCCCCAGTGAGTGGAAAGACAAAGCTGGTTTAAATAGTGGTTTCTGCTCTAGTGACAATGCACTGCAAAAGGAGCAGCGAAATCCAAACACTGTTTTCACACCAACTGATCAGAAATGTCTGTCTCAAGCTTGCTGATTCCTAGGCAGTGTGCAAGGATGGAGACTGGCTGGTTCAGAGCTTGTACTTGAGGCATGTAGGTTTTGGGCGTTCTCCGATGTGCACTGGAGGGAGGCAGCTGTCTTCAAAGAGCGGAGCAGAGCTGCCAGTGCTGCCTGTCAGTGCATCGGCTGCCTGTGCCCCTCGGCAGGGCAGTTTGGTGAGACAAGCTGGCAGATAGGAAGCAGCAAGCACAGGGGTATGTCTGCAGGGGCGTCTCCATTGTCTGGAGGTTAGGCTTTTGCAGAAGGAAGCGGCAGCACTGGTGACCTCCTGTATAGCACAATGGTTTGTTTTCTATAACTTGGTCTTTCCATAGTTTGTGGTGGGGGTTTTTTCTGCATGATGTATTTAATTTGTTCCTGTGGTGTTGTTCCCCTCCCCCAGTAAGTCCTTTGAATGAGCAAAATTGAGGAGGGAAGGGAAAACAAAATAAAAAAGTTTTTTTTCCCCTAGAGGATTTTCAATCAAAATAATTTCAAATTATGGGGCCAGAATGAATGTCGTACTTCCGTGTTAAGTACTTGCCTACTTTGTGGGATGTTTTGTACAGATTCTTCACTAAATTATCTTAGCTACTGTTGCTAGGTAACATTGTTTGCTTCATAGCATCAGAGAAATAAGAGGGTCAAAGAGAGCAATTTTGTGTTATTATCTGAGTTATACTAATAAGGTTTTCATTGTACGTCTTAGAAATTTTTCCCCCTTTTTTTCCCTTAGGGAACGTCATTGTCTATGGGAATACAATTGACATTTACACCACGGTAGAAACCCTCTTATCTCTTGGAATTAATGGTTCTCGCATACATCTCGTACAGCCTCCACTCAGCTCAAACGTTACTTGCCTTAACAACAACGAAATCGAAAGTGCTGTTCAGGAGGCACTATCAAAGGCTGGCGTGTCTGTTTATTGTGACAGTATTCTGGCACAGTGGAACGGAGGCGACGACCCAGACCTTATCACATGTGCTGCTTTCACTACTAATACAAAACCATTTAAATTGCAGTGTTCCGTAAGTATATGCTTTCATTGTATTTCCTTCAGTCTGTTTTTTAAGACAAAGACCATCACATTTAGATAATCCCTCATTGGTCTATCTATTTTCTCATTGTCTCTAGAAGATTGAACATTCACTTTTTAGTCTAAAGGATTGGGGTTTTTTCAAATCCAAATAAAATCATTGTTAATGCCCTGACTGATTTGGATTAAAATGTATTTAAGTCACCTGACTCTCAAAGAGTTGTTCACTGCTGAGTGACAAATACTCTTAATTAATTTTCTAAATAATTCCAGAAATTCTTTTATTATTTAAACGTGTACAGCGACTCCTGTCTGTAGTTATGTGCACTTGAGTAAGTCATAATAGGAGGCAAAAATGTTAGGATAGAGAGACCTACTATGTAACTTAATTAAAATATATTTTAAACAGATTTTTCTCCCTCTACATTAATGACTGTGTTTTTGTTCATATACAGTATCACTATCTTATCTAAGTAAATTATACACACACTCACAAGTATGACCCCACTGTGAGATTTGGGAAAGGTTTTAGCCTTTCCTGATGGGCAGAATAGTTCTGTTTTTCTTTATTGGGCTAATCCATGTGAGTGAGCACTTCTGATAGAGTCACTTCAAAACATGCATCCATAGGAAGCTGTATGGCCCCCTCAACACGTCCTGCTGTGTGCACACTTCTTTGTGCAGCAAGTCTGTTGTAATTCTGGAAAGTAAGAGCTTTGTGCCTCCCCCGCAGAGCTCCCCACGAGTTGCTGGTCCCTGCCGGCTCCCCTGCACTGGAAAGCCCTAAGTCATTGGGTTTTCCCAACCCTTTTCTTTTTACCATATGGATGGTTAAGCCCTTCCTGATGGAGGCGAAGGCCTTGCATAGAACTTTTATTTACCGGCAGTCTCCTGACCTTGGTCCCCATACCAGTACCAGTAGTGATGTTCCTTCCACTCTCCTCATGCAGCTCTTCAAGTTCTCTCCTCTTTCCCTGAAATCCCTCTATTTTTAACCTTCTTCCGCAGAGATCTCCATGTGGTTCTTGTTCTTGCGACTTAATAGTCATTCACCACCTCCCCATCACCCCCTCCTCTTTTCCCCACCACCTTGCCTGTGTGGCCTATGCCATTCCTTCAAGACCCCCATTTCCTCATGGTTGGTTTTTCTTGCCGTTTTGTGCCCCCCGTCCTGTGCCCATCCTTTCTCCAGCCATGGTTCTTCCCTCTTGAAGTCTCTCTTACCCAGCCTCTAAGATAAGAGATGTGCAATTATTTGTGATGTTGGGGGCTTTATATTCTCCAAAACCAGTTTGGCTGCCTTGCAAGGCTCCTGTATCTACTTTTAGCCGCCTGGGAGGACAGGCTCAGAGGAGGACAGGCCTCCAGAGAGCAGCCTCCAGCAAGAAGGCAGCTGCGTTCGCAAGGGAGCAGGCTGTGGAGGAATCGGCACTGCAGCAGCTCTGGGCCTTTTGGGATTTCAGCCAATATCAACTGTTGATTGGCAGTTCTTGGGGGCTTAATTTGTTGAGTCCTGCAGGATAAAAACAACGGGAGAAAATCTCCTCTTTCCCTAAAGCAGCAGCCTCCCTCCCTCCCCTCCTGGGCTGACAGATGGCTCCCAGCCTGGAGGTTGCAGCCGTCCCCTCCCCTCCCCTCCGGTGACACTGTCCTGCCTGTCAGCCGGCAGGATGTGGGGCTGTGTGGTCTCCTTGCCCTCACGCGCAGAGCTTCCCTGGTTTTGGATCTACTAGATGGCTAGGATTCCCTTAACTGTGTATAGTTCATTACTTGTTTTATATGCAAACAAGCCCAGAGGCTCTGGCTCCTCTGCTGCCGCATCTCTGCTGTACCAGTGTTGCTAAAATTTCCAGCTCCCTTTGCTTCCCTCTCCTGTGCCTTTTCTTCCGGCTGGCTTATCCAGCCGGTTGTGAGCATCTGATGCTTCCCTTTAGTCTACAGGAAAGCTCTTTGGTGGTATAATTGGGTAATACTTTTACCCAGGTCACAGCCGTGTCCTCCCTGAGGCTGACACTAAGGGAAGGACGTATTACTGATGCTGGTTTGCCCTGATAAAGTTATGTCTTGGGCTGTTCAAGATGAAGGCAGCAAGCTAACACATGCTCATCTGACAACTTTTCACCCTTTCCTCAGCCTGTACAGTAATATTTCTTGATGGTGGGCAGCAACATTCAACTTGTCGTCTAATCATTTTAAAAGCTGAGGGCACTGATGAAGGGGAGAGCTCTTTACAAAGGCTCTGAAGCTTCACAAACTATATTGTAGCAATGAGACAGTCAGTCTTCATCTGTACACTTTGCAGACCATGATCTTGTTTAAAACATCTCTCAACCTTGTCATTTTTACTACTTTTAACCCTCAATGTCCAGTGTGCACTCCTGTTTTACACTATTTTGGGGACCTTTGTTCTGCCAGCATTCAGTTTATCCTTTGTAAGAGGCAGCTATGAAGATGCTGCTCGCAGTGGTAGCTTCTCCAGCTTCTGCCATCTGTAGCACTCTGATGGAGGTGAGGGCTTGGGGCAGGGACTGTTCTGTGCGTGTGGCCCCCAGTTCCAAGCTGGAGTGACCCAGCCTCGCTTACCTGCTCCTCATTTCTCATGTTTCAGAACTGAGACACTTCCAGGTGATGCAGGTTTTACATTCCCCAGCACCTCTCTCGGCTTTATCTGAACAGGCACTTTTGTCCTTAGTGAGCACATTTTTGGTTCCAGATTTCAGATGGGCTTTTGCCTCTTCAAAGTTACTTTTAGGCAATGTAGAAAACCCGATAAAATGCCTATCAAGAGAAATGTCAGGTGTACATGATTCTAAATTGATTTGAAAGCTCCTCTCTGCTAATCAATGTGCAAAGTCTGTGCGGAGTGTGCAGACAAAAGGCGAGGGCTGTGGCGGGACCCTGGAGTCCTCGCTCTCGCGCTGCGCTGGATTTCAAAGCGTCTCTTCAGGCATCCAGCACATTGTTCGTGACGTGCTGTGTGCACATCTGTTCCACGCGGAAGCCTCATGCGTAGGACGAATTGGTGGCCGCTTCCAGCACCGCCTGCTTTGTAGTGCTTGTCGTGGTGGTGCCACCTCAGCTCCTGTTTTGGGAGATGAGGTCTGATCTGCTTCCTCATGTGCTAGGAGAGGGACTATGCAGGTGCCATGAGAAGATAAAAGAAGGGAATTATCACTGGCTTTTTTCTTTGAGACTTAGAGGAGGAATTTAAGGATTTAGGGTGATTTTCTTTCAATGCCCTTGAAATCTTTCTGTGGGCAAGACAAGCTCCTGGCTTCAGTAGATGCTGGTCCCAGGATAAATCCCTACCTCAGGGCCAGTTCTGTAAGGAGGAGTAAGACAGCACAGGCAGTGTTTTCAAAGAACGGGAGTCACATCTTTTTTCAGTCCCACAAACCAAAACAGTGAATGGGTATCTGCTGTGCTCATTACCAGATTCAGTAACTGACTGCCAAAGGTACTAAGTACTTTACTTACAGACACAGCCTCCTCTGGGCTGATCTGGATGATCTAGATGGATCCGATGTCCATCTGGATATGTGCCCTGCCACTGCAGGGGCAGTAGTCCCAAGCACTGAGGAAGTACAGATTAGCCTGCCTCCTAAAGCAAGTGTTATCCAGATCTGGAATAGTTAGAGATATGTTTCAGTCCTGACAAAGTTTGGATATGCTTTCCAAAATCTACATCACTATCAAGTATAATAAATCTGAACGCTTTCCTTTTCATGAAAGTATTTAGTCCTTTTGTACCTCTCACAAACTTCTTGGCCTCCACAGCTTCCATTGGCTTAAATTCTGCTGCTGTAGTTTGAGTGAGCATGACATTTCCTCTGAACAATTCTAATTTCCTGTCTTTCCATTTCATTGAATATCCCTGTGCTGGTAGCCATAGTAACATAGGTTGTTGGTAAACAGGCACAACAGTTGGAAAAATATTTGTAATATACAGTTATCCTGCTAAAATACAAAGTATGTTGTACTTTTCTGTTACATATTTCAGTTTGGCTTGAGCACTTGAAAGAAGAAAACCAACTTCATATAGGGTTCAAGTCTATTTTGTATGCTCATACTAACACAGAAAATATGCACATCCACTCAGGCTATTTGACATAATTAATATTAAAGGTTTTAAAATAAAACTTGTCTAATAACCAGAAGTAGATGAGTCTAGTTTAGTAATTCTCTCTACTGTCTTTGTTTTAACTTTAGTAGCTGTAAATACTGGATCAGAAGGATTTATCTGTGTATATAAAATTATACTTTATTTCATATTCTTGTTTATTAAAATAAATAACTTTCAGAATGAAGCGTAGGTTTTGATTTATGAAATTAGCCAGTAACTAATACATAGTAACCTACACTTACTTACATCTCTTTTTTTAGGCATTTTTTAGCTTTGCCTACAGAGCAGTGGATTATGAAACCTTTAAGGCAATTAATGATGCTTGCCTTGTTTTTGATGGAAGACTTGTGATTGATACCAAATTCCATACTAATGATGTCAGTATCAGGGCTGCTGGTCCTTTAACAAAGTACTCCAGGAGATACTGTGTAGATGAATGGACACACAGCAACTTCAATTCAAAAGAGATTGGCTTTGAGCTTGCTGCATCTATGCTGAATCTCTTTGATCCAACCCGTAAGCCCTTTTCTAAGCCACCAGAAGGCACAGATAGACTCATCCCCATGTACAAAGGGTGTAAAATTAAAGGTATGTCGATGGATTTCTGTCATACTTTGATACACTCTCTGGTATTTTTGCTGTTATATAATAAGGGTAGGTCCATCTCACCTAAGATGCCATCTAATGGCAGTGAAGTCCTCAAAGCTCCTTACATAGTCAGTGGAGAGAGGTGAGTTGTAATAAAAGCTTACGCTGTAGATTTTTGCTAATAATGGACCAAGTTGTACTTTCGTTTATATTGCAGTAAATATGGAGTGTTTCCAGTGAAACTCAGTGTCTTTATTCCAAGTTCAGGATCAAGAAAATTTTAATCAGAACTTTTCAATGTGTGGCTACTGTGCCAATATGTATAAGAGTACCAAAAAAAAGTTTGTAACATGAAGTCCACCAAAACAAAAGAAGTTCCTTGTTTTCTTTTTAGAGCCATTTAGTAAACAAAAAAAAAAAAGGGGAGAAGGAGGGCAAACAAATACTTTATTGTTGTCTTTGTTTATGATTTAACAAATCTCATATTCTCATTTATGGCAGGAGGTGTTCTTCCTGGGGGTTATAATTACTTGCATATTTCCAAACCAGAAATCCCCATCCGCTTGGACTTAGAACTTGCACTGTGTGATCATGTAAGTTACATTATTTAAGTTTTCTTTGTTTCATCCTCTATTTGGAAAGATGTTCTTATTTAGGATAGCACAGGTACATGCATAAGTACCGTGCATCTTAAAAAAAAGTATATATCTTGTGTAAGCATGGTTTTAAGTATGTATTTAGAGACCTTCTGGAGCTGGGACTTACCAGTAAACTCTGGAATGGAACAAACCACATAAAAGACCAAATCTCTATTTAATTTATTTTAATGTAAATTCACTGTAATGTAAATTCACTTCTTTACTGCAGTTCTTAATTCCTTTGCAATGAAATCAACCGAAACCGAAGGGGTTGTGGTCCTTGAAGGCAGGAAAGACTTGTCAAGCCCTAATGCCCTGAACTCTTCATTACTATTTGTAGCACTTTGGGTTCAAATAGCTCCCTAAATGGGGCACTACAGCTCAACTCCTTGACCCTTTTTTTTCCAGTGCTGGTGGGTCAGCCATTTGTCTCGGCCCAGGTTGGGAGCTTATCACGTTGGCTTTTCTTCAGTACTCTTGTTTTCAGAATGGCTTTCTTTTTCCTTGATTCTGTAGAAAGACAAGTCATTTTCTCAGTCATATGGAATACGTTGCTTTTGAAGTTCTTAGCACATATTTAATACATAGCACGTCAAGGTAGTGGTGGTATTTGCCATCAGATTTGCATAAGAACAAATCCAGTCAGCTGAGCCTGGGTGCATCATATAAATCAGGTACAGCTGGTGAACAGGTATGAATCACATAACTAATTGAACCTCTTAGGTGTTCATTTCCATACTTTCTGATATTTGGTTTTCTCAAAAGATGCACGATTCCTATAAAGAGGATGTAAGATAGTGTTATTTGGATTTCACTAAAATATGCTTTCAGCCTTAGCACTTAATCTCTTTCCTCCCTGCAATAAGGTGCTATAAATGCATACAGATGATAAAACTTCACAGCCAATCAGTGAAATTCAGTTGATTTCTAGACTAGTAGGAAAAGAATATATTCTGGAAGGGATGCTCTGTACTTAGATGCTAGAAAATAGCTAGTGCTGCAACCATAAGAGTCATCTTTGAACAGGAAAGAAGGAAGCGCTTTGCTTCCCAACTGTACAGTTCCAACTGTAGTTGGGCTACATAGGAGATTTCCCGTGATACAAACGTGGAGACGTGTCTCTTACTGGAGAACCTGACTCGTGAAACAAGAAAAGGACCAGACTCATGTATTTTAAAGCCAGAGAGGACCATCCACCTAGGCAAGCTCCTGTTTCATACAGATTATACCTTTTTCATCAGGGATTTCTGCATTAAGCCCATTCTTGTAGTTGATGTAAAGAGTGGCTTTTAAAAGACTACTTCTGTGCTGATTTTAAAACTTGGACAGCAGTAGTCCATAGGAAGAAATGATATTTTTTAAAAAGGAATCCATGCTTTGGGAGGAGGAATCAAAGCATGGCTCACCTTGTTTTCCAGCTTTGCAGATCCAGGATGAGCTGTCCAAAGCAGCATGTACTGGGAAGCAGAAAGGACTATCAGAGAGAGAAAATTGGTTTTGTCACTCCAAATTGCTAGAACATGATTAGAATTCTTTTGCTGCAGCTTTGATTACCTGCTGTCTGAAAAGGGAACATCTTTAAAGCCACTTGAGAAACTTCATGTAAATCCTAAAAGAATTTTCTAAGAAAGAAGTAAGAGAAGCTAGTGAAATGTATTAGCTGAGAGATGTGGAAGTAACAAAGGTTACTGTAGCCTAGCAACAGGTTTTAGAAATATATAAAACTGGAACATGAATACAGCTTTAAAAAACAGCTTTAAGCTATTTGATCATCCCACTGCAATGTGAGGTTTGAAACAAATTTTTACGTTTTTGTCTTTTAAGTGATTCATTTAACTAGCTGAAATGAAATGCTACAGTTTAAGCATCAGCATCCAACATTATTATTCTTTTATTGATATTAGAGTTGGAGTTAGCAACACCTGGCAGACCCTGTTCAAATCGGCAAGAGGGAGTCACTGAGAGCAATTCTAAATCATATATATATGTGTATGTATTTGTGTGTATATATATACACACATATATACATATGCATATATATGTAATGTAAGTATATGCATATATGTTTTTTAAAGGTGATAGTAATTCACCATTTAGAAGTCTAGAACATAGCCTGAAGGAAACGTCCTATGAGATCAAGCCTAGCCTCCTGCAGTTTCAGGCAACCATCTAGTACATAGTGCCATTTACAGAATGTAGAAGTTTGTTTTAGAACTGAACAGGGACCTTCTTGGTATTTCTTTCCTTGTTGGAAGGCTGTTCCAACACATCACACCTCTGACTACAGGAAAACTCCTACACAAAGCCAAAAATGCTTAATTGGTATGTGATAAATCTTTGAGTTGTAACATTGAAGTTTGCTTGTAGCTGATTAATGTGGTAGTGTCAACCCTTTGCCTACAGTCCTATAGCTGCTACAATGTGCCATAAATTTGGACTCTGCACATATACTGTTTGTATATACATATATATATCTATACATATTTTTTCCTATACACGTATATATACACGTGTATATATACATATATATATGTATAGTTATAAATCTGGAGAGAGAATAAAAGTATACCAGTGTTCTTCATTCATCAGGATGGTATCCTATAGCAAATGATGATATGCCATGTGTATGCAATAATGTGGACTCTGTGTAATAAATTAGGATGAATAGAGTTCAATTCAGTTGCCTAAACAGGCATCTAGTGTTTGGGATGCCCCAGGGCATCCCTTCTGACCTCCAGCTGCTGCTTCAGGAGGTCATGGGTCTCCCATGGATCTTGTGTCATCACTGCCAGCACAGTTTGGATGGCCCAGATACCCTTAGGTGTCTGAAATGGCACTCAGGATTGGGCAACCAAAGCCCATGCTGCACAGGCAGTCGTATGCTGCACAGTTTTGTGTGCAGTTAATCAAGGTCTAAACCACACAGAAAATCTTTGTGTCCAAACCACAGCAAAGTGCCTTCTTGTATAAACCATGTTACCAGGAATGGGTATTCTTGATTAAAAAAAAAAGGGTTGTGGATTTTAAGAAATGGTACATATCAGCTAGGAAACCTAAGCTGATCCTGTACATATGCCAAGTCAGGTGTTCATTCCATCTCCACAGTTTTTCTTATATTTTCTGTTCCAGGGGCTGGAGATTATAACCGGAGAGGCAAGACATGGGAATTATTTCAGAATGCATATCAACAAATATAATATGGTAGACAGCATCACCTGCTTTTCAAAGGAACCCTTTCCTGTCTCCAACTACATTTGCTTGTATGGACAGCATGAGCGTCTTCTTAATGATCTTTATTATCGCTGGAATGAAGGGCAGATTACAGATCTTTACAGGTAAAATAAACTGAACATTGTGCATAAAATCTACATTCTGGCAGAATTTTAGTTTTATTTTATTACAGTTTATCTTCTGGCTGTTTTACCTTAGAACAAAAGATAGATTTTTAGAGACATTTTCCATTATTTGGCAAAATTATCAGTGGTAATGCAAGCCCTGAAGACCTTCCTGGAAAGAGCTGTGTGTATGAGATTTATTTAGAGACGGAGCAGTGGTTTACTTGACCATCTTTCATCTGAAAGAGCATTTCAGTATCTTTATAACTTTTGCAGATGTGCACTTTATAACTTTTTCAGTAGGCTTAACTTACTAAGCTGAACCTGAAAAATCCTTTTTTACTGAAGATTCATATTCAGAAGTCACTTTTAAAAGCCACTATTTTTGTCCCTTTGAATCAAATTTTTAAGCTGAAGGTTCTGGGGAGATTTTAAATCACTCATGATGATAGTCACACTCAACAACTTGCCTGCTTATCTGGTGATAAAACAAACCCTGAAGTTTATACTCTAGACTGTGTTCTCTGTGTAAGGGAGTTAATTTTATAGCTGGAGGCTGTCAGGACTCTGCATATTTAGCGGAGGTTCCCCATCCAACTTGCAGGACTTACCCCACCACAGCAATCTGCAGCAATGAAACAGGTCTTACAGATTTTCTGAGGTGCTACCCTCTGCCCACTGTGCCCAAGCAAGCACAGGGCAATCGTGGGGACTAGGTGTTCCAAGGCAAGTCTCTGAAGTGGTGGGAGAGACTAAAGAGCCTGGCTATTTCTAGCCAAGATTTATGTGCCGTCTCATCTGAGAGAATTTTTCATTGCTTTTGGAAATGCAAACTTAATTAAGAAAGTTATTATGGAGAGAGGCGTATCTGAAAAATGAGATCTACCGTATCTTTAATCTTCTGCTACTTCTTCTTTTATTCCTTATGCCTCAGTGAAAACAAGTCCTTTTGAGGTCAAGCTTGATTAAAAAACCAAAACAAAACAAAACCCAGCCTTGGGTTTCATTCATGGGGTAGAATTCTCTGAGCATGTAATTGAAACAGAAGGTAAAGAACTTGCTGAAATATCTTATTTTGATTTTCATTTTTAAAAAAGGTGGTGGCTTGGGAACCTAAATTGTCACAGACAGAGAAGTGAAGTACCACATTACATAAGCTAGTTTAGAGACAGAAAGCCAAGCACAGGAACAAATAGTAAATTTTTATCATGATACAAAGCTGATAGTGGTGCCTTAAAGGTCTCCAGACCTGATTTTGTTATATTTATAACTGATTTGAAGAAAGGCATAAATGGTAGGAAAATTTTCAGATTAAACAATGTTACTTAGGTAACAGTTTGTAAAAGTTTTCTGTAAAGGATGTGCCGTGGTCCAAAAGAAACTTTGCATGATAATAGCAATCTACTGGTTCAAAAAATTCTGTAGGAGTGAAGCATCTGATATCTTGAGACAGAGACTTAAGAGCCTGTGAATTCCTGTACCTCTTTCTCTAGCTTTTGCACTTCTGCTGGTTCAGTGTCAAAAAGCTTCACTGGAATATGGATAAGGCATTGTACACTGCTAAGGACAGAGAAATGAGAATGTCTGCTGAAATCAGGGAGGAGCAGGGGGATCCAGCCAAGCCCTTCAGTTAATGTCAAAAGATTGGTTTGTATGCCATATTTTGAGAATATCAGCTGCCGTCTCAAAGGGTGAACTCCCTTGAAAAGGATTCAGGGCTTCACCAGGACTGGATGTGTGGCTCTCGCAATTCTTATGATGTGTTTTGCAGTCCTCTTCCTGCACTCTCTCCTCATTGTAAATATTACAGAGTCTAGCTCCTCATTTTTTTCTTCTTGTCTTGTACTGAAAGACGGGATGAACCCAAACTTCAACTGTGAGGTTTAAAAGTTTCTTGGACAAAAATACTTCTTTACAAATTTCATTTCAGGAGACCTTTGTATGCCTTTGCTGAGAGGAGTGTGAAACTTGTGAATTGTTGCTGCCAGAGGAATTGATTTTGATTTGTAGAAAATGTTGGGTTTGTTTTACAAGAGAGGAATGGCACACAGCAAATGTAAAGTTCACATAAACAGTATATTGTCAATAGGTGTTGAGTAGAAACTGAAGGAGGATGACACAATTGTATGAGATATAGGTTAAAACGGCAGGTAATTTTCTTTCCTTGTCACAGCTGAGGCTGATCAGCTAATACATTTTGAGCACTGGAAGAAACTCGATACTCAGGTTGTGGCAAGGTATCATCAGTCTTTTTCATGGTGTTACAATATGCAAACACAGCTGTGACGTAATCTTTTCTATGAACCACAAATGTTGCCAGACACTTACGCCTTTGTTGTTTGCCCAGATGTGGTTACAGTGTCAGCTGTTGTATGTACTAGCAAATTTCACACCAGTATCTACATCTGGAAGAATAAATCACCTTGCTTTGGGATTTCCACCTGCAACACAGGTAGCAGTATTTTCCTGACCTTGACAAAACCACCATTTGTTCCCTTTTTCTCTGTTGCTGCATGTTGAGCACATAGCCCAGCCCGAGGACCTCAGTGCAGCTGTACTTACCTGCAGTCTTGATAGCTATGCACACAGATTTCAAAGAGGTGAGACATTAACTTTCTGAACGGACAGCTTATTTCTTCATGAGAGAAATTGAGAATGTATTAGCCTCCCTTGCTCTCATGATTGTGATAGGATACCCACATGGTGCACTGATCAGGGGATTACAAGTAAGATCAAGTTCTAAACATCCACAGAGATTTTAAAAATCTGAGGAGAGATGAGGATCCCAGTGATGATCTGTTAATAGGATGAGTCAGGCCAGTCAACGCTGTAAGAGTAAGAAGTGCAGTTTTCTCTGATGGCAGGATATACACTCGCTGAGGGAGTCATCAGCTCCTGCAAGACTGCTTGTATCTTAACTGGTCTTTGCTTACCAGGATCTGAAGTTGTGCAAGGTCAGGGCTCTCTTGCATCCACATACTCACAGGCACCACGACCTGCATGACTGGGTGGTCTGGCCAGGATCACTAGTGTGCCACACAGGGGACACCACTTACCGGGTCCTCATCACATCTCTTGAGCTCTTCTTAATTAGTGATGATGAACTAATTTTGGACTTGTCTTTTACAGCCTTTAGATGTGGATGTTGTTTGGGATCTTTTGCCTTATTATTTTATCTCACCCCACGTTAGCCCATGGCAAAATTCCTGAGTTACGGTTGCCAGGTTTTTCTTATCTGGTTATTTTATTGCCTCCAGTTCTGTTTTTTGTCTTCTTTATACCTTATCTTTAGATAGGTTTGTTCCTCCTCTTCTTGCTCTTTGGTCATTTGAATGAAATCACATATGTTGCCCTGTAGCAATTAACATAGGCTGTTCTTTAATCCTTTCTCGCTTGTTTCTTCTGGTGCTTTCACACACATGCATACACACACACGTACACTTCCATTCATATCAGTCTTGGTATTTCTGTTACAAATATCTATACTACGAGGAGGATGGATTCTCTAGCTAGTTTAACAGGTGGGAGACAGAAGAGCAACTCACTGCAGTAAAGTCCTTTGCAGTCAGCCAAGGCAGAGTGAAAGGACTAGTGAGAAAAGGAAGAGACAGTGAGAAGAGGAAGCACACTGCTTGTAATCTTCACCTACAGTCCTAGCACAAAGCAAACTGGCACAGGAAATTGCTTCTTTCAGGAGGTAGAGCAATGAAAAAAGGCTGGCAATATAATGTAGTCTCATCATAAATAATATCATATATACAATACATATACGTCCACATAATACAATGTTATATACAATGTACATGTGTATATGCACAATATACAACAATATACAGTGTTTAACACCTAGCCATGAGAATACTACCTATTAGAAAACCATTAAACCGAAAAATGGTTTAGCATCTCTTGAGAGATAAAGATTGTCTTGAGTCTTTTACATAGATAAAAAGTGGTGTCTGGTCTTCTTTTAGCAAGGAATATGAAAACACATTCATTGATTTCTATGTGTGTGATAAAAAGAAGAAAAACTGTTTTGGGTGGTGTTCACATGGTCTATAATGATCTCACGTGACTGTGTGAATGCAAACCTGATGTTAGGACTGAATTTCTCCCTTTGACTTTAAAAAAATCCTTTTAAACTAGACACATTACACTTACATCCACTTGCAGTATCTTCTAGCAAGATGTGAAATGCCCTTAGTGTGGGACTGTGAGAATGTTGTGGTTTGTTAGTTAAGTTGCTAAACTTGCTGGTTTGAGACATTCATTCCCCTCCTCCCTTCTTTATGCCTCTATTTTGGGGAGGGCCTTCCTATAAGGCAAGAAAGTACAACGTTTTAATCTTTTGGTCTGCATTTAGATTTCCCAGCATGGCATCTAGTTCCAGGAATGGACACAGTGGAACAGCTGTCACCTGGGAGCTAATTTATTTCTGTGTAGCATGCAAATTATCTTTTAAATAATTAGAAACTGCACCTAGCAATGAATTTCCTCACTGATTTGCGTTCGGTATAAGGGCTGAAAGTTAACCCCATGATACCGGATTTCCTGACCATAGTGCGCCAGTGCTATTTTCAAATTAGCATGAACAACAGGACCTCAAGATTCAGCTAACTTGGAAGAAGTAACTCCTTCTGGTTGTGTGTGTGAAACATCAACTACTGGTAATAATGAGATAAATAACATTTCCTTTTGTTGAGAGAAAAGTTCCATTGATCTCAGTATGAGATCTCAACATGATTAAAAGCTGCAGGACTTGACCTGCAAGCAAATGAAAGATTGAAGTCACTTCTCACCTCCTCCCTTCCTCCTACAGTAAATGTATGTTGTGGAGGAAGCTAAGCAGGCTGGTGGGCATGCATCGCCCTACCCCTGGTGCAGGTCAGAGGGGTCCACCAGTGGCTGCGGTCCCAGCCTAGTCCCGTGCCAGGGAAGGAAGCCCCTCAGCCCTTAGATTTGCAGGACCAACAGTCTGATGCCCCCAGTCACACTAATACTGG